TGTGGCTCTCTGTGTGTGTTCCAGGTAAGACTGAGATCTGCTCACCATCCATGTACACACACACACACACGGTGTGAGCAACATGCCCAGAGACTGTTGTGTGCAAAACAAAGGCTACACACTCAGTTTGTTGTGTAATACAGAAGGCAAGCTGCTACTGTTGCTATTTCCTCCCTACAGGTTCATCTAAAGTACAGCAGGACAAGAGCACGTTTTGCTGTCTTGCAGGTATTTAAAACTCATTAAGTTTACAAACCACTTACACAGCTATGCAAATTCTCTTCTTCTTTTTGTTTAAATTTAGACCAAACTGTGGCCTCTAAAATATAAAAGACAATGGTCAAAATATGTCAACATAGCTGTTAACGAGAAAATCAATATTTGCTTGTTTTTTAATGCAGCTTTCTAAAATAACTCCACCCCTGATGGCCCCGGTGCTTTTAAAAGTTTAAAGGATAATATGTGGATATTTACTCATTGTGTCAGTTTCCCATATAAGCTGCATTCATTCCTCTGGATCGATATTGCACGAGTAGCCCGGTACTGCACACACTGTAGATGTTGATGCTGCCCTTTCATTATCAGTGTAACCCTAACAGTAGAGAAGATTAAATTCTTGTCACCAGATGTTAGATTGTCCATTACCCATCTAAGATAAATTGGTCCTTAAATTTCCCAGTTAAAAACACCTGACAAGATGTGGAGAAAACAAAGTGCAAACACAACACATAATTTAATGATGCTGACACAGGGGTTACATTGTGTATTTGGCTGTATTATATTATGTGTATGAGCAGAAGAAGAACAAAGAGCTGTCTCTTATTTTGGTACATCCTGTTTTGTGGTGAGTCACTAATTTTATAATTTCTCAATTTCTCATTTCCCCCTTCCTAGGCAGAGGACCAGCATGAGACAGACAGCTTTATTTTTCAAATCCATCCCATATGGAATGATTTTACATCAGCTATTGAGACCATCAGCCCAGTCATTGTTGTGTCTCCACTAAAGTGTGACACTTTCTCTACCCCCCTTCTTTTTCTATTGCAGAAAAAAAGCTCCCAATTCAGACCCTGCATTAAGTCAACCTGTCGAGTGCTTCCCTGGAGAGTTTTGGACTTGAAGTTTGTCTTGGCAGTTCCTCTGCTGGTGGCCCCCACTGGAGGAGCAAGGTCACAGTGGACCTGAGTGTCTAAACTTTAACAGACCCTCCACAGAAATCCCACACACTTATTTTTACATAAAGTCAGTAATGCGTATTCAATAGTCTCAAGACAAAGTCTTCAAATGCTGTTGCATGCTAATTGTCAGGAATACAATAAAACCTATAGAAAACATGTAGCTTATTTTTTTTTCTTTTTTAGCATTTTTCAAATTATAGGAGACCAACCCTCCCAATGCTGGCACTAAAATGTACAATTTCTAAATTTTAAATATGAAAATGTTCTTTTGTAATTTGTCATATGGGCACATGGATGGTCGAAGATATTTTGTGTGTGGCTACATTGGAAATTACAAAAATCATCGCTGCCAAGCAACAACAACAACAATAATAATAATATTAATAATCTATTTTAAACCAAATGAAAAGGTTTACTTTCAGTTTTCACTGTGTGTAAATAAAAACGTTAAAAAATGTTTCTGTTTACACATTCTATTGCAGGCAGTCAATTTGGCTTGACATGGTTGACAGAGATTTGTTTGTTTGTTTGTTTGTTTGTTTGTTTGTTTGTTTGTTTGTTTTTTCAGCCATGATTGCACATTACGGCTTTCCTGCATATTAAGCCCCCTCAAAATCCATAAGCTTTTGTAAATATCTGAACTTATATCTGAAAAATAAAACGATGAATCAGTACCAGGCTCACATTTGTGACCTGCCAATGGCAACAAAGGATGTGAGATTCATTTATGAATGGTTCAAATAAAATATGACTCAATTGTGTATGTTGAATTGTTTATGTAAGATTAAAATACCTTATTTAAGCCAAAACAAATTGATTTTCTTCCATAAATGATATACTTTCGCCATTGTGTCAGCACATCTTAAAGCTCAATTGTAAAATTAACTTGTGGAAATTGAACAATTCATCAAGTCATTTTTGTTTAGTGAACAATGGTGAAAATATTAAACTGTCAGTTTGGTGTAAACGCTCTGGAGACAAACATTTACAATACACTGAGTGACACTGAGAAGTGTTTCTAATATGATAAAATGGGGTGGACAAAATGTTAGAAACACATCTCAGCATAATGCAATAACTGAAAAGTTGTCTCAACACCTCTCTAACAACAAAAGCTGAACATTAGAACCTTCATAAAGGGAGCATTGGTTTCAGGGCTGTTGTATTACACTGTATTCATTTTTGCCAGGTGTACCTAATAAACTGGAAACTGAGCTAGCTATATGCCCAAAGCTGTATTACCACTGAAGGGCAGCACATCATCACGCGCTCTGCACCTACTGAACCAAAGCAGTATATTTCCACTTTCCAAAAAGGCATTAGAGAAAAGGAATAGAGGCTGGTGTTCAAAGCCTAGGTCAGGCCTGAAAAATAATGCAGAATGCTGAAAAAAGAAAAAAGAAAATAATAATAAAATTAAAATTGTTTTTCTGTTAAACAAAGCTCAAAATAAAATTCTGTCTGGTTAGTTAAAAGCCTAAAAATGCATGGGTACACAGCTATATATATATATATATATATATATAATTATCATAAATACTGAGAAGCATTATGTTGAATATTGGAAAAAAAAGAAACTGTGAAAGTGAAGTGCAGCCTGTTCAAAGGTGTCAGGGTCTATTCTTTGAGTTTTTATTTATTTTCTGCCACACAGACTGACAAAGAAAAAAAAACTATTCTACATGGATTAAAGCATGTCTTAATGATCCATGTGGCTGTCAGTCAGTGACAGTTTAGTGACTCGAGGTCGTGGGCGGCGCTGCAGTCCTCCCAAGCACGCTGGGTGATCTAATTACGTCCACCCTTCCACCAATTACAGAATTACATCACACCTTTAAATGGACTCGTCCTCTTAATCATTAATGATACGGTGTCGTTCTCTCTGACGGCATAGAGTTGCGTTGTGGCAACCCGACACAGTTCAGAGTTAATCCTAAATAATGTGGCTGAAGCAAAAGTGTTTCAGGGTTTCGGGCAAAAAAGTGATAAATAAATTCCATATTTGCGTACTCTGCGTGCTCCTCAGTGGCGCGGTATACTAAACATGCATGAGACAAAACCAGGTCAATTAGGCCATCCACGCAGCCTATTGAAAATACTGATCCAATGAGTGCAGATACTGTAGCCAGAGATGTGTGTGCGTGTGTGTGTGTGTGTGTGTGTGTGTGTGTGTGTGTGCGCGCGCGCGCGTGTGCTCCTGGGGTCATTGGTGTTTATTTTGGTTCTTGTTTAGCGCACAGAGGGGAAACGCTTATTGATAGGCCTGATAGAGGATCATGGCCTACAGGTAGGCTACTCAAGCGTCATTTTATGGCTGTCAGAGGAGGTGATCTCTGATCTGTGTGAGTAACACAGAGCAAAAGGAATGGCTGAAGCGGAAACATTAAGTGGAAACCAGTGAAAGTAATGGTCCATTTAATTGTTATCTGAGTTTATATTTGCCCTGTTTTTTCTTTTTCTTTTGACAGAATTCTGAATTTTAGAAAACAATTTTAAGAGCCTTTCCTGACATTTCTTTCTTCTTTTTTGCCCATATTTTATCTTGGTGGTGTAAGTCGCTGCAATAGGCTATATATATATCTTTGCATGACACTGATTTTTTTTGTGTACCGAAAGTAAGAATTGCTTCAGTTAATTTTAATGTGATCTTCCTTTTTAATGTGATCTCTCTGATGTGAGTCTTTTAGGGGGTGAGCTATATACAGTATCCATGCTGGAAATTAGCTGCTTTGGAAACATATATGGCCCCACAGTGAGTTTCTGCTAAAGGAGAGTTAATAGGCCCGCATTCTTGTCTGTAAACGCCATTGTTATTCTTCACTTATCTCTGTTATCTTAATCTGCTAGCATTGTTTACTTATCTTATTTGAAATAGCTCAGTTACAAATGTATTATCTGTCCTTTGTCATTCAAACTTCCCATAAAGACACTACCAGTGTGAAAACCAAACGAAAAAAAAATATGTTGTGGTTTTTTTGTTTGTTTGTTTGTTTGTTTTTACAGTGAAAATGCTAAAATATGAAAATATGTTCATAAATCATTTGGTGTATTATTGAGTCCAATTTTGTTAAAATACAGCAAGTGGGGAAAATCAGAGCATCTGGATAATCCCATTTGTTTCTAGCTGTTTTAAGGAATTTAATAACAATACATATGTTCTTGCCATTAAAGACATGACATTTTTGTCAAAAAAAAGTTAAATTACCCGATTGGTGGGTTTTGTCACTCCTGGAATAATAAAACAACATTTCAGAGCAGATTTTATCTAAATAAGATTTTAAGTAAATAACGAGAAATTGTTAATGGCGTGTATTCCCATGCACACTTGAAAAATAAATTATGTTTATCTGAAAAGCAGGGTCTTCGGTGCAGCTTTGTTTTGTCCAGCACACCATATAAAGGAGGTCAGTTCATTTAGTTCATTTAGCCTGAGCTGTCAACTCGGCTGGCCCGCGCGCAATAACGCAATTCACTCAAGGAAAATAAACGGAGGAGGAGAAGTGACCCTTTACGAGCTGCTCTCTGCTCCACATACAAGGGGCTTTGGGAGATTAGTATATGTGTGTGTGTGTGTGTGTCTATGGGGGTTGGGGGTGTTTAGTTAGTTTGTTGTGGCTTCAGTCAGTGTATCGCTTGTAGGTGATGCCAGGACTAGATAAGAGGTCGCCGATCCCTCCGTGCTGTCTAGACCAGCTTGTGACTCAACCGGAGTAACTGGACCGAGCACAATTTACAGCAGATTTTTGCCCCCAAGATAGTAAATGACCACTGCTACATAACCGAAGGGGGAAACACCGCAGATGCAGGGCGATGATAAGACAACAGAGCCTCCAGACTTTATATTCAGGTGGGCCAACTGCTGAACAGGACAAACAACCTATTCAGAGCAACTGGAATTAATATTTGTTTTACTTTTAACGCTTTAAATCTGTTCTTTAAACCGGCCCTAGAAGCTCTGCATTTGTTGCACACGTTTCCCAAATCGGAAGTGACTCGCTGCCATGAGGAGTAACGATCTGTCGCCTCTTTGGATTCGGTCAGTGAATTTGACTTTGCCACCATATGTTCCCCGGAAAACAAAAATTTATTAGGTCCGTGCAATTAATTTGTTTCTCGTCATACTTTTGCAACGAAACATGGACAGTTATAATTAACTGTTTTCAGAGCTGGATTTTCAAATAAATTAGATGATTATTATATTGGCTTGCAAATGCCAAAGCGACATTAAATTGATGGGTAAAAAAAACTGCATCTGTACATAGATTGGTCACCAAGACACTTTATGTATTCAGGGTTTTTATTTTTGTATCAGTTAATAATCCCTTTACGAATCGCTTTCCTAACAATAAATAATATAACAATAATTTACTTTTTGTCCGAGAAGCTCAAACAACCTGTATCCTGCCCTTAAGATAAAGTATTTTACAACACGAATAGGTTTGCAGATTATCATGCTCTGACCTTAAGACAAAGAGTCAACTGGACTCGTCAACGCAATAAATGTATCAAAAAATTCTCATGTTGAAGAAACAAGACACAATATGATCACAATGAAACCGCAGCTGTTTTCGACATGGAAATGTTTCCAGCTTGTTTTTGAGGGAAGGTTTGTTGTAGTATATCCATCGGGAGGTCTTCTGTACATCATCTTTCTCCGTATCAAATCATGCAACAATTGTTCTGCTTAGTTTTTTGTCAATGAAAGCTCCACAAAAAAACTGAGTCAATTGGTGCTTTCTTTGTTCCATCTCCTACATGGCAGGGGGCAAAAAAACCCTCTCCTGTCTGTTTGGGCGATGTGATGAGCTGGTCACATGCAGGGGACCATGGGGATCATGCTGCAATTGTCCTTGCAGGAGCGGGGACCGACTGGTCTGAGGGGCCCCGTTTCACGTCTCCACCGGGCTGGGTACCATACTGTTGGGGGTGTCCGGTAACTGAGAGGACAAAGAAGTCACGTCGCTGCCAGAGGAGTTCCCGAGAGAGCCCGATTCAGAGAAAGACACCTGAACAGACAGAAATAACGTGTTAGAATTTGCGAATTATTCAGGCTTTTATTTTGAAATATTTTCTGTCTTTGCTGACGTGGAGACACAATGTGAACATCCATGTACTCTCTTAGGGCATGTCTGCATTCACACAAGCAACATAATTTAACGGAGAGCGCATAAGTCTGTATCTGCAAAATATGCATGATAGATAGACAGATAGATAGATAGACAGATAGATAGATAGATAGATAGATTCCAGTTTGCAGTGCATGTAAACTGCACTAGTGTTCACATCTAACTCAGTCTGTGCTGAACACACACACCAGTTGTTGGAAGGCTGGCTGGTCCAGGTCACTCTGCAGGGCGAACTCACTCAGGGCTTTCCATGGAGGCTGGTAGGTCTGAACCTCCACTTGGTTTCCCTGCACGGTGCTCTCATGTCTTATAGGACTCCCGGCCACAAGCGGCGTCCCTGTGAGGCCCTGCAGATTCTGAAACACAGCATAAGAATCACTTGTCTGTGTTCTTTAAGAAAATCTCTGTTACCAATCTGTCACTTTTGCAAGAACTGAAAAAAAACTGGCCTTATGAAACCTATGTTTTCTAAATACATTTTCTCAGGCAAAAGGGGCATCTGAGATAAAATGCTAAATTGAGACAGCACTTTTTCCAAAAAAAGGTTTTCTCTTGGGGTGGAGCATTGATTGAACGATGGTTTTAAAGCAAGAGATGCTTCAGATATGTGGAACAAGCCTGTTGTTTGGAGAGGATGTTTTTTTTGTCATTCAGGTCAAGCAACTGAAGCCAAAGCAGTTGATTCATTATTCAATGACCTAAAGTCTGAATACAGAATAGCTCTGGAGCACAACTGGAACTGGTGTGCTGTGTCTTAGTGTAAGTAGAGTAAAAGCTGAAGTTTAGAAATGACATTTCAAGTGATATCATAGGCTACTTTACTGGCTGGGGGGGGGGGGGGGGGGGTAATAAAATAGAACAAAATAAAATAAAATAGAATTACACAAATGTATCCTGGCCATGATTTTAAATAATAATCAAAACGGAAATAAAGAACAAATAAATGGTTGATAGTAATCAAGTGGTCAAACTTACGAAGATGCTTACAGTCTTATCACTGTGTTGCTGTTGCTGGAGCTGCTTCATCAAGATGGACTTCTTCTTGTCTTTGCAGCGCTTATTCTGAAACCAGACCCGGATCACCCTGGGGCTCAGGCCGGTCATCTCCACCAGCTGCTCCTTCATCAGCGCGTCCGGCCTCGGGTTGGCGTTGTAGCAGGTCCGCAACGTGTGCAGCTGCTTCTCGTTCAGAACCGTCCTGACCCGCGTCGTCTTTTCCGACTGCTTGTGTACGTGGTTCCGATGCGGGGCCTGCCGCACCGTCACCGGGTCTGTTGAGGCCGGGGTGAAGAGAAACTGTCGTTCAGAAACTGTCTTGGAGGCCTCAGAGATTTTCAATTTTTGATACAGTTGCTTTGCAGCTCATTAATGTCAATCTGCTGTTTCGCCTTTAATATCTCTTGGACTGTTATGTTTTAAATGGAAAGGCCAAAAATATTTATCAGTCCGACATTCATTTTATGAGAAAAATGTCTGCAGTAACTTAAATCAAAGGCTTAGGCGAATGATGATAGGGTCTTAAAAGAGGAAAAAAAGCCATCAATATTTCTGAGAAGCTCCTTTCGCTTCCTGTGTTTTCAGAGTACAAATATCCATTTTGATTGACATTTTGCATACAAATAAGAACACAATTCTGATCCATAATAGTCAGAGTTGAAAGACAGTAATTCACGTGAATTTGGATAGCTTGAACTTATGATAAAATGTTTTTATTTATTTTTTAGGCTGTTTTTTGCAATTAATAAACCACTCACGTCTTGCATTGTTGTCTGAAGTCAGCCTAACAACCCTTAACCGTACATCAGGAGGCTATTCTTTGCTCCAAATCTACAATCCATTAAATTTGGAAAACGCAGATGAAATATGACATCCTGCTGGTGTCACGCAGCAGGCCTGTTGTCACTGCACTGAGCTGTGCAAGTTCTTTTGAAGTGAGCGCGTTAAGCAGGAAGTTGGTGAACATTATTCACACATTTGACTCGTTCTCTTTCTGTTGGCAGGCGCCCTCAGGATGACAGCTCTGCACACACCAACCCAGTCTCACGCACTCAAATACCAGATTATTCAGATAATGGCAACAGAGCAGGTTAGCGCTAATGAGATCAATTATGAAATTAAGCCTAAAGAAGTGTCGCAGCACACACTTTAGCCTACACGCACAAGCGTGCATACAAACACAATCCGACAAGCCCAACAACTACAAAACATGAAAATCTCAAATATAAAATTTTCATATCGTTTATCTAAACTTTAAACTGTTTGGTTTGTTAGAAAGTATGAGGATTTCTTTCTTACATTTCTTTAAACGGTAGTCTTTTTATTTAGGAATTATCTGCCAGTTATGGTGTTCTGGTGTTATAATAAATAATTAAATTGTCTCAAGCAAAATAAAAAAAAATAAGAATAACAGAAACAACAACCGGACCTGCCAGGTGCAGCGGTCTGTTGGAGTGGACGTGTCCGGGGCTGATGGGGCTTCCTGCGGAGCTCCTCTCCAGCAGCAGGCTGTGGTCCGCCCGGCACAGCAGCTCGTCTTCCCGCAGGGAGAACTCGTCTCCCGGTAGCAACTGCCTGCTGCACACCGAGCACCGAAAACACTCGATGTGGTACACGTTATCCCGGGCTCTCATCACCAAATCGCTACTGCTGAATCCCAGGTTGCATTTAGAGCATTTTATTCCAAACAGCCTGGAAAATTGGGGGAAAATGGTCAAAAGATTTTAAACGTCTGGGAAGAAATGTAATAAATAACAACAGAAAAGTTTCGGCTGGTTGCTCAGAGTTGCGAGTGCTAAATCTCAATAATCTTCTGCTATATATTTTTTAATATGGATAGCAAAATGGTGTCGTGTATTTTTTGTGTGTAAAATTGTATATTAAACTACTCCTTTAACCCGTGTGTTACCAAAGTATTATTCTGCTTTTTGTGCACTTTTCTTTTTGTGTCCAAATTCGTTATAATTCCAAATTTTCGTAATTAGATTTGGCGTCTTTATAATATAAATTCTTATTGTATTTAAATATGTTTAATTTTACATTTAAAATGAGTAGCCTAAACATGATTCGGCCCATATGGTAAATATTTCCAAACTCCTACCTTACATAATCTCTTTTGCAATAAGTTTTGCCGTCCCGGACGAAACAAGTGCAGGTCTCATCCAGGTACTGGCTGCACTCTGCACACTTCAGGCAGGCTGCATGCCACTCCAAGTCGGGAGAGACTCTCAGTATGTACTGGTCATGGATCTGACTTCCACATCCTACACACATCGCGAATCCTGGCTTCTCTGCAAAGAGCCCACAGCATTGTAACCACAGACTGAAAATGCAGCCAAATAAACACACTATCATAAAAAACTGCAGCATTTTTTTTTTTATTTTAAAACCCAGCCTGTATTCTCAGTTTTGCTGCGAACTCCTCTATTTCTTGCAGACTGGACAAGTCTTGATGGTTATGTAACAGATGAAGACTTTTGCCAGTATTCCTGAAGCAAAATACTTTTGATTCATGTCTAAAAAGCGCCTCCGAAATGCACAAGCAAAGAAATAATAACCATCCCACAATATTGCACTATTAAGAAAATTACTAAAGCAATCGGTGCACTGCTGAACATCTCATGTAGCATAATGCCACTGCGACGAAAACAAAATCTGCCACTTAAAACTCCACCGAGCAGTTTAGCTTACTTACTTTTGGAATGATCCCCCATATCACCCAAGAAAGAAGAGCTGAAAATAATATCCACCATACAGGAAGGATAAAGGGGATTGTGGCAGATGCAGAAAAGATGTGAGGAGATGACTGGCCCTTCGGCTGCCTCCCTGATAACGTGTGTCTCTCCGGACATGGGGGTGCGGGCGAGGAGGATGCAGGGTCCCACACGCCGCTGCTCTGACGTCATGACGTCAACGTCGGACTTCTCCAATCACCCTACCGCGTCTCCCTCAACCTGTAAAAAATAAAACCAGTGTAAATTTATGACAAAAGCGTAAGAAGAGTGCAGATATTCATATTTAGTTTCTTCAAACAAAGATTCAAGGCGAGGGAAAATGTTTCAAATGCAACACCAATCGATGCAGTTTTTAAGATGCACATGATCACATTATCATCCTCGGTGGATTAAAAGCTTCATCTGAAACTACTAACCACAAAAAAACAAAAAACAAATAAACAACTTTGTTAAGTTCTACCTTAAAGGTAACCTTTCTTGGTCACACGATGAAGAAATAAGTCATTATTTACAAGAAATATGTAAGGCTATTGTTGATGAAAAATAATTACATGTTTTAAAAAAAGAAGGCTTTGAGTCTTGCTCCCCTGACGCGTTTTTTTTAGATCGCTTCCGATAAATTTACATCTATTTTTGATTTCAGCTCTTCAATATATCTTGGTCAAAAAACCAAACGATATTTCTTGAGAATTCGCATTGTTGGTCTTTGACTTGGAGTCAAAAGCAATGCAGATTACTGCCTTAATATTTTTATTAGAAAATAAACACGAAACAATAAATCCTTGCAGGATCATAGTGACAGTGGTCAAGTCTCCTCAGCTCCGTCCTCATCTACTCGAGAACAAGGCCATCTATTGGAGGAAAACCAGAACTACACTGGTATGAAAAGGGGGGAGAGTTGTTCTTCAAGCTGAGCATGGTAGATTTGACTTCAACTCAATGTATGAATCTATCGTACGCTCTGTAACTGAAGACCCTAACAAAAGTATCAGATATCTATGATCTTTCACAGGTCCACATTAGATAGACCTAAACGTAAGATGATCTGCCAACAACAGCAGAAATCCTTCCTGCAGATAATTAGTCTAGGCCTAAATCAAATTTTCTAGTCTTAGTAGAAATCCGTATTTCACATCACTTTTTTTAAAAACAGTGCTGTGAAAATAAATATAGGATATGTGTTGCCTATATGTAAGATTCAATTTGGGTTCAGTAATTAAATTCACAAACGTGATATCGTTTAAAAACTTGCATTTCCATTGAGAGCCTCGGTCTGTTCACATGTTGAGAGTGAAAAGAACAAACAATACAGCACAATGCCAATGTTTGCTGCACTGTCTTGCTCCTGTGTCTCTTCTTCTGTCATCCTGTAGAACAGTTAAAGCAAACAAACAGCCTCTTCTCCATTTGAACTTCCTCTCAGTAATCCATAATAAACCCTCCTACTCATGCCCTCACTTGCCACCTGAGATTTTTTAAACCAATATAGGCAGACTCTTATTATGCCAAAACAACGCAACTGAAAAAAAACAATTTCTTTCTTGATTAATGACTAATCAATGATTAACTTTAAACGCAGCTCCATCAGCTTAAAATAGTGGTTTGATTGGACTGATCCAGACTCTTGGCTACTTTGCTCACGAGACCTGGCAAACATGTACATATTATGTGGTTATTTTGCTTCCACAAAATGGGATGTTAATTACCAGCGTGGATGTGTTATTGCAGGGTCAAATCAGGATGCAGCAGTCGGGTTTTATCCCTCGACCCTGTCTTACAGGTCAGCTGAGACGCAAACTACAGTTAAAGCTAGCAATTTATTTCTGAAGAATGTTTTGACATATAAAGAGAGGAGTTCTCTGTACACCCCGAAAGCAATAAATCAATCAAATGCTCTGACACAAAAATGAAAATGTTTCCGTGGCAGTCAGGACTGTCTAATATAATAAGCATGGCCAATCACTTCATTGGCTGGCCTACCTGCCGACCTGCTCGCACTCTGCCCACACACTGCGCACGAAAATGTTCTTTTAGGGGACTGTCTTTGCAGGGAGCCATGAGGGGAGGGGGGAGGAAATAGGATTTTTTCGGCTGCATATAAAAAATGTAGCTGTTCACATAGCATCAATATTGGCCTACTTGTAAAAAGCCAATTATGGATGTGGAGTATGCTTGGTCTATTAACAAACACATATTTATGTTAGGTTTTGATTAATTCTTCAAACAGGACATTACCATAGCTTACTAGTCTACACATTAGTCAAGGTGAGGTATGCGATTCTAATGTCTCCTCAAGGTCCTCTAGCGGTCCCTTCTGTGTGTGCACTGAAAAATTTGTACACAGCCCTGTCTCTGTAAATAGAAAACAAAGAAAGTGGCCCTCACTCTGCCACACAACACTATTCCAGCTGTTCCAGCCATGATTTGTGTGTCAGGAAACAAATTACTTGCCCCTGGACATTCGGCTTGCTTTCTAGTTTGCCAAGACATAATGCTGTTGTGATGTTGGCTACAGTAGCAGGAGAGTTCTGAGTAGGCTTTCACTGGTTGGAGATGGTGTACCAGCTGTGGACAGTCGTGTCCTCTCTGCATGTTGGTTTTGCAGCAGCAACTGTAGCCACGGCTTGCTAACCCCCAAGGTAGCTAACATTAGTTACATTACTTGCTGTGTCATTGTTTGCTCTGATGGTATATTTCATGGTTTTGGATTTTTCCAGAATCGCATGCCCCACTTCAATGAATGAAGTAAAATTGTCTAAAACTTTCTTTATAGGCCAGTCTCTTCCAGAGCACCTGCCCTTTGCAAAGTACAACAACAAACGGACCCAATTGTGTAAAGGTAGGCCTACAGTATTTTTACAGGACCTAAACGAACAGCAGGAATACAAAGAATACTTACAGCTGTATGCTCAAACTGGTCCATGCTTATGGGTACTGGTGATTTACAGAAATGTGCTAACTGTACACCGTCATTGGGAAAAGGAAGCAACCTAACAGACCATTCAAGAGTGCAAAAACAAAAAGTGATACCTGAGCTATAATTAGACCACAGCTGGCATGAAGCTAGTCAGTTCTGTTAGGACATGAACTGGCATAACTTCACTAAGATTATTTGTAAAATGGCAGGAAGTGCTTTTTCCTCCCTTTGGGGCAAGTAGTGTCAAAGGGGTCAAGAAGATGCTAGTTGGCACAACTTCAGCTTAATTTAATGTTTATTCCTATGCTGGATTTTGAGTATTATAATTAATAATGTTGTTATAGTTTATTATGCATGCTGACATACAAATTTGTTAGTTTAATTTGTTGAAATATTGGATGTCTCCCTGCCCTTCACACTGAATTAACACACATTAGTGATTAGAGCTTTTAAAGTGATTTTGTCAATTTAAAATCAGTTTAAGTAAACATCAATCTGTCACATATAATGTTTCAGTAGCCAAAAAAAGGTGATGTCTTAAGTGAGAAAATTCTCTCTGTCTCATGATGTATATGTCATAAAATCACTGTTTTTTAGGTCTAGAAAATGCAATATTGAAATTAATGTCACAGTGATGAAGACCTTTAATTTTTGGAAGTGAGGATGTTGTGAAGGTTAGCTTTTGAGAGCTGTTAACCTCAGCCCTGAATAAAATTTGGGACATAGAAATCAGTTTAATTCTGTCTCATTATTATTGGTATAAAATCAAATATTGAAAAAAGGAGAAGAAGAAAAAGGTGTTAAAGTTGCTGGCTACTGAACCTGATCTGCTCACACTCACATTTAGTAAATTAGGTCTAACTCTCCGTAGAATCATTCTCTGTTATATGTATATTAAAAAATATTGTATTATTCATATTGGATTTTGGAACTTCAACAATTATGTCTCAATGTTCTAATGTATGTAAAAGTTTTTTTTCTCTTTAATAAGTGATCTCATTCTGTAATCTGTGCTTGTTCAATAGAACTGTCAGCTCATAGATCTAATGGTATTTCAATTGAATTAGGATGCATTAAACTAAATCATAGGTATTTTATTACAGCTCATATTGATCTTTATTTCTAGGCTAGGCTTTACTCTATTTAGTATTAGAACAAGGTGCAGTATGTGGTTAATTCAATGTGACTCACTCACTTGCATCAGTCACTTTAAACCTGACTATATGGATGGTGTATGTTGAGAGAGTAGTATCATATTCAAGCTTTATTTCTTATTGTAAAAGTGATATAATAGTATAATTTGCTGCAGATATTTTTTAAAACCAGACTGAGCATTACCTCTTTTAAGCTTTTATGTAACCTTTTCACCCTGCCCTTAGAGAGCTCACTATAACCATTACTTTAACTTTTATAGTCTCAGTCACTATCGCTAAAGATCTGTGAGAGCTTTGTAAGCCTAAACATGTTGTTGTTCCCTTTGCAGAATCTCCTCCCCAGAGTGTCTGCTAAGCTGGATGTGGCTACTATTTCAGACATCACAGAGGTCAGATCCCAAGGCACCTTTGTCAGGACCATGTAGGGGAGCGTTGTTTTGAAAAATGCATCAAGTGGCATAAACAACAATAAAAATGTAAAGGGGACTAGGGAAAGTAATACAAACCACACGGAGGACCTGAGGCTACTTTAACACACTATTCTGGCTGCCTGGATTAATTACATTAATTGTGTTGCACTTAATCATTCATTAAACCTTTCAGCAAAGTTTTGGTCATGACACCGTGGCTTATTTATGCATGCTGTATAGCATTACCCTCAATGTAAAGCCTGTGCAGAAGATTAAAATATTGAACATAGACTAAATGATTATATGCACTCACTGTTTCGCTAATGCTGCAGGTCAAGCGTTAAGGTTATGAGTGTTTCATATAGGTACATATATATACATTCAGTACAGAGTGACAGGAAACATCACATGCAGCATTATTGTTTGTGACCTGTTAATGACTAGAAGATCAAGCCCAGCCATCCTAGCTGTCACTCTAGCATGAAAGCGTCCCAGAAGAATCTCTAATCACAGTTTGATGGGGCCCATTAACCTCATGAAATATATATGTGTGACTGAAATCATCCACTTAAAGTTTGGCAAGAGCAAAATGTTCTTGTTTGGAATTCAGGGGGGCTTTCCTGGGCTGCATTACCAAACTTTTCATGGTGACTCGTTGTCTCTTGAATGTTTTAAGGTTCTGTGGCATGTTGCCTTCATTGTCAGACCTATAAGTAATTTACCATGCCAATTCCTTCGAACTCCCCAGGCTTGATTCAGCTGAATTTGTGCCAATTTGTTTGTGTCCGTTGGAGCATCTTTATTTTTTTCACATTAAAAACGGAGATGTGTGAGATCTTGCAGTGAATGCCTTGTGCACAGTGAAGTGTAAGGAGAAGGTTCACAGGGTAATAAACCTTTGCTTTGCAATATGTGCAATGGAAGTTTTTTTGTCTATTATACAAATATTTTGGTAACTGTTTAATTTCGAGCTAATTTATGTCCCTATTTAAGATTGATTTTAAAAAACTAGTACAAAATATGGAAAATGGCTTGGAGACGAAAAAATTAATGACTTAAAGAGAGACTGGGCAGCAGTCTGATCATCACATAATGGCCACATCAGATAAATAATTAAAAAAGACGCTTTTCAACCAGCTATACCTTTTGTTGTTTGTTTGTATCATATCATAGTTTGGAACAGCAGGCTGGGAAATGTGTTCACTGCATACGTTAATTTATTCATTTATGACCTGTCATGGCCTATTGATGTTAAAACAAGAAGAAAAAAGCACACTGCAGCGTGTGCTGTTTGGAGCATCAACAGCACAAGTACAGTACTTGCAGTCATAGTATATAAGGTCTCAGTGGGACTCTAAACTCAAACCACGTGTCTGCTGACTTTTATGTTTTTGTGTTTATTCAGGACAAGCTGCCGTTTGAACTGGCTGGTGAACTGAAAGCTGCAGGTATTTTGCTATTATGTGTGTTAAGTCCATTTCTTCTTCTTCTTGAAGGTGTGTGTGCTTTCTGCATGAATTTATTTTTGTTAAGTGTGTGTGTGTGTGTGTGTGTGTGTGTGTGTGTGTGTGTGTGGCACTCTCTTGCCTGCAAAAGGTAGGTGTGTTTAAGAGTCTGTAAGAGAGAGAGAGAGAAAGTTTTATCATATCATCATCTTGACTGAAATGCAGTGATGTGTAGGTCAGCCAGACCTGAAAGGCTTCTGTTCCTGTAAGTCATTAATTCCATACACACTGTTTATTTGACTCGTACCAAGGGATCCATAATTACTGTACTTTGATAGATTGAAAGACAGAAAAACTTAAAAACACTTTGATATTTAATGATTTATATCAACTTTTATATTAACATTTTGTAAACCATTTCGTTTGTAGATTTAATTTAAAATGATAACATTTTACACATTTTATAAGTTTATTCTTGGTACATAATGCATTGTCTATAGTTGTCTAAACAGAGATGCATCTTTCCTCATTTAAGTGACACAGCCTCTTGTTAAAGCTGCTGATAAGTAAAAAGACTGCTGCTTCACCCTGATGAGAACTGCTGATGAGAAAATACAAGATGTGCATTTGTAAAATAAAACAGGCGGCTGACAGTTACACTAATAAGGTAATAATGGCACAGGTTCTTTAGCCCAACAATGCAGAACTGCCCCGAGGCACCAATCAAAAATTAATACTAATTATCATGTGAATACTGCATTAACTCCGAAGAATTATGAATTATAAATCTGCAACATGGTTCCCCTCTCAGAATGGCCTCGCTTGCATGTGATGGTTTTTTTCTCTCGCTGAGGCATTTCTGAGGACCAGTAAAAATAAAAAAACATGCAGACATACCATCAGTGCTGTGAACAATTTATTGTGAAATCTACTGTAATTATGTCTTTAAAGTAATGACCTTTCTGTCTTTAAGGTCATAAGAGAGATATCTGTTTACACATTTTTAATATCTTATAACCTGAGTGTTCATATTAATTTCACTTTGGGCTGACTCAAGACTTGACTCAGAGCACTCAAAGCCAACTTACTATTGGTTCTGGTAAATCATTTACAGCTTTAAACCACCATTAATTACATTTCAAGTGGTCAAGTGTCCAAATTGTCCAGTGCATTTAAATGTGTTTAAATGAAAGTCATTAAACAATATTATACTGCACATTGCAGTATAACACAGTCATGATTTTAAAAAGGCACATGTCTTTAACGTCTGATGATCATAGTAAGTTAGACCAGTCAAAACAATGCTGTCTGCCTCCTCTGAAAATACTGGAACAGTTGGTCTGTAAAGAGTTTTTTGTCCACTGAAACCAAACAGAGAAAGTATTCATATAAAATATCCATAGTCCAGTTTTATCACTATGTTTTACTATTAACGGATTCATATTTATTAGTCAATTTGTTGCATTTACAGTTCACTGAAGTTTTTGATGTAGCTGTTTTAAACAACCATTCTCTGGTTCCAGTTTCTCGTGAAGATTTGTTGCTTTTCCTTGTCTTTAACTAAATATCTATGAGTTTTCAACTAGTCGTTAAAAAAAAAAAAAAAAGCAGTTTCAATATGTTAGTTTTTGGCTGCATAAAAGTGTGATGGGGAAATAATGGTTACTTGCAGCTGTACCCTGAAGACAAAGCACTGAATGCATTCTTGGCTGTACAACACAGCACTTAGTGCTACTGGGTAATTTAATGTAATATGTACAACAGTCCAGGCTGTAGTTGTCTGCCATGTGCTCCATGGTATTCTGTTTACTGACCAGCCGATTAATTCACTTGTGTCACAATCTGCGTGTTTTGTAAAGCACTCATGTTCTCACACCTGAGGGAAGCTTTGCTGTGTGAAGGAAGAGGTTTCAGCATCACTTTGGGGTATTTTATTAACAGGACAGCAGGTGCAAGACTCCCTGACCTGTTCCCTCCGCCAGCTGTGTGTGTGTGTGTGTGTGTGTGTATGTGTGGGCGGGTATCACTGATGTTGTGGAGACATAAATCTATTTATACAGTCACATTGTGGGGACTCACCTTCCTTCCACAAAATGAAAGTCCCCATAAGGTAAATCTTGTGTTAGAGTTAGGTAAGTCGTGGTTATGGTTAGGGTTAGTCTCCAGGGAATGAATGTTAGTCAATGTAATGTCCAGAGAAATGGTGGAAACACAACTGTGTGTGTGTGTGTGTGTGTGTGTGTGTGTGTGTGTGTGTGTGTGTGTGTGTGTGTGTGTGTGTGTGGTGAAGCGAAAGCTGCCTGCTGCTGCCTCAGTCGCCTGCTTTCCAGAGGAAACTTTGAAAAGCTGCTTGTATGCAGCTGGATACTGAAGGCAAAGGTGATTGCTTTTCTGGGTTTTTTGGTTTTTTTCCATCTCTCAAGTGAAAAAAAGGCCCTCTAGATTGACAGTGCCTTTCATACTGTATTATCCGGCCTGGCTTTTAACTCTAGGAGAACTGTGTTCACAAATTGATGCTCTGCTCCTTTGGGGCTGTAGCTGAAACATTAAATTGTACTGAAATATTCATATGTGAGTGCATTTAGCTGAGAGCAATTGATGTGCGACTCCCCAGACGCCAGATGGAAATGTTGCGGGGCCCCAGAACGCACTGGCAGACACCCTGAGCTCTGGCCGGGACAGTGATTGTGATTTAGCCAAGGCTACCGAGTCAGACTAAGTTGAAGACTGGTACAAAAAACACCAATGTATTTGAATTTGAATATTTCACAACAGCCACTAGGTTTAGATTGATGCATTACACATGCTGATAGTTTGTGTTTATTAATGACAAAATTAAAATGTTAGTATTGAATTCATTATTGTCCATTAATATTTCTACATGTCTGTCTGTTCTGCTTTGCATTTGGCATCTCAGGAGCAATTCTGAGCTGGAATGAAACACAGTAATAAGTCGGACACACAAAAAACTGACAGGAAATTGTGTTTTTATAGTCTACCTCTAGTCTATATTCCTTCATACATATTCATTATATTACACTATAAATATAGTATTAGCTTTTCACAATACCCAACTCAAATTTCTTATTTAATTCAAAAAGTTTGTGTTTAGAATGATTAACAGCCCATGTCAGTTGGAGATTAAGAAAACCACACATGGATTAAATAACAGTTTGTAGGTGTGTAAATCATTAATTTTCAGTTACTCAGTATGCACTTACATGTCTTAAAGGTGGGTTATGCGACTTTAATCCAAAACACGTTTTTTTTTTTTTTTTTAATTCAGCGAATATCTCCTCACAATCCGTAAACTGTCCGTTCTGTGTGTGCGCTGAAAAGATCATTTTCACAGTCCTGGCTCTGTAAATAGGAAACAACCTCTTGGTTGGACCGAGCCACACAACACTATTCCAGCCATTCCAGCCATAATTTGTAAGTCAGGTAACATTAAATGACTTGCCCACAGACATTCAGCTTACTTTGCCAAAATATGCTGTTTTTATGATGTTAGCTATATTAGCACAAGAGTTGTCTGGAGCTGGTGTGCTGGCTCTGGGACCATCTCGTCCTCTCTGCATGTTAGCTTCACAGCAGCAAATGTGTTCCAGTTTGCTACAACTTAACTAACGTTAGTTACATTATTTGTTGCGTCGTTGTTGGCTCTATATCATTAAAGTATTTGTCAGGGTGTTGGATTTAAAGCTATGTTTGTAAGTTACTGTAAATGCTTGGTCGGGATTTTTATGCGTTTGTTGCAGAAGCAAGATTTGAATATGAATATGTACGTGACTTCAATGGGATTTGGAAAAATCTTGATTCCGTGGCAGCAATTTCCCTGAAGAGTTGGGCTTTTTATTCAGAAATGTTTGCTAATTTACCCTTCATGTAGCAAGTCATGCATAACATGATACTTACACGTTGAATTAATTGTGATGTTCTGTAGATTATTTTACTCAGTTCTTTGGAGCACATAGTGATGTAGTGCCCCATCTCCCAGAGGACTATCTCAGTTGTGTCCTCATGTTTATCACATGACTAACTAGCGTAAGTCTTCTTCTGATTGCTTATAACATATGCAGGAGCAACAAGAGAAATTATCAGTACTTTTCTTTGTCTCCAGACAAAATGTAGAAAAAGCCAATGAATTTCACATTTGGCAAATCAGAAGCATTTGTTTCTGACATTATTTTACCTTATATTAGTAAATTACAATCTTGTACTAAAAACTGATTTAATAATTAATATTATTTCTCAAGAGGAGTGAAGTGATTGAGCTTGGACACTCAGTGGGTCTTGTTTCCAATTCTCTTCTTTTTCTCATTTCTGTTGTTGACCCACTTTTATCCCAAGTAGCATGACAAGTATCTGAGGTCAGGGTACCAGAAGAAAACTGTATTTTTATGTAAATGCAAAAAAAAAAAATTTCTGTAGCCATGACAACAGTCTCCTGAGTGGATTTATTCCACCAAGCGAACCTCTGGATCCTGTGCACTTAAGAAATGTGTTTCAAAAAGAGAACCTGAGAAGCTTTTTAAAGAATGATGTATAATTTATTTGCATTTTTCTCCTGCCTCAGAGCCTCTTGAAAGAGTGTCCTGTGTGAGACGTGTTCTGAATCTGTCAGACCGCAGCAGTAATGCAGTCATACTTCCCACATCTATTTGTTCTCAATGAAATTGACCCTTTTTAACATATACCCAGCTTTTTGGTGCCATAGGGCAGCATTTAAAATCTCCTCCTCGTACTTGAAAAGAAACAACATTCATAATCAAAACCACTCAGATGTGAATCAGAAAATGCCTCTTGGACAGACAATTGAAAACATAAAATGCTGTATTTTAATACCAGCTCATATTCCAGTAGTTCAGTTTCTATCACAATACCTGTTTGTTAGTTTGATAATATTAACAAACTCCTTATCATTGTACTAGGTAACAGCTAACACAGAGAAACGCCCTCAAGATCTTTCATCTCTCTCAAGTAGTATTTGGAACCCAGGACAC